CCAGTCCAGGGCCGACCAACTCCAAGCAGCCAACTCCACATTTTAGCTTTGCTACAGGCCTCAAACCGCCAGTTCATGATTGGAAAAACCATCCGGAACATTTCCAAAGCACGGTACTGAGCTCAAAGTTCCATTGGCAGATCCTGGCTCCCGACGCCACCGTGCTCAATGGTAACACCGTTGACTATGCCATCATGCATCAGAACCTGGCAGCTTATACGTCCATGACCGCGGAGTGGGCGGTACCATGGCGACCAACTGCCTGGTGACCTATGCGCTGGAACTTGAAGATGACTTCAGGCATGACAACCAGCTCCGTACCTTTCCACCTCTGCCCACCATACCAGACATTGGCTTCCGGGCCTGGAGCACCTATGTCACCCAAGTTGAGGATCTCCAGCTCTGTGAGGCTACTCCCAATCAAGGAGCCCGAGGTCTGGCCGTCTGGGTCTCTATCACTGAGCAATACCTGCTCCAACAACATCCATGGGCGCCTCAGGGCAGGGCTTACAACCTCTCAGCCCAACACCAACACTGGTCCCGGCTTTCTGGGAGCAGCAGCCCAAACTCGGCCTAATAAAGGCCCTACACCACGTACCACAACACTGGACCGGCGAAACAACTTGGCGCAATTCCTGGACACTAGCCAACACTGGCAGCAACCTCGCACCCTGGAATTAATTGCTGCAGCATACCATACAGCACCAGCACAAGGCGAATCCAAGGGCTGAAGGGCCTTTTCAGATCCCTCAAAGCCAGTGAACTTTCATGGCAACGACCCTACCGAGACATCCCAGCTGCAGATCGTATGAGGCGCCAGGCACCGGCTCAAGGCATGGCGCACCCTCTGGCAAACCAGGTCATGGCACGACCGTCTCTCCAAGAAGCAGCCCGCAACCAGGCTGCCCAGCTACCGCCCCTGACCATTGGACATCTTGCCAAAACGCTGCGGAAACTGCCAGACCGTGCGTTTGGCCCTGATGCCATCGCAACACAGCTGCTGCGCACGGCACCTAAACAAGCGCTACAGCCCTTACTTGGCATCCTCCAAACTATGGAAGCCACTGCGGAGCTTCCCACTCAGCTCCAAACGAGTCTGGTGGTCATGCTGGCCAAACGAGAAGGTGGAACGACCCATCACGCTGACCAGCGTCCTCCACCGCACCTGGTGCCGCATGCGCGCAAGGATCTCCTCGACCATGTGTCCCTAGAGAGGCTGCTGCGGCAGGAAAGCACCAAAACCTTGGGCAAACATGGCATCACCGAAAAGACTCCGGCAAACAACCCAAGACGTGAGCTACCCACCCCTGGCCCTGGAATTCGCCCTGCAGGTCTACACTGGCCCACATGGCTGAAGCGGAACTCAGTCCATGGTTCCATGTGACCACAGGAGTCGCCGAGGGTTGCCCTCAGGCTCCACCACATTGGCTGGTGCGGAACTCAGTCCGGTTCCATGTGACCACAGGGGTCGCCGAGGGTTGCCCTCAGGCTCCACTCTTGACAAACACATCCGGATCTCACATTGAATGGTTGGGTAGACGGCATAGGCTTTGATGGCAGCCACCAGTCCACCCACCTAGCCAACCGCGCCATCCAGGCCTGGCATGAGCTACGCGACAACCTCCAAGCTGCAGGGCTTTTGGTCAATGGCCACAAAACAGCCTTCATTGTCACGGACAAAACCATCCATAAAGCCCTGGCCAAAGTCTTGGAACCCAACGATCCGCCCATCCAGACAGTGATGAGAGACTTGGGCATTGACCATTCCACAGGCCGCCGCCGCCGAATAGCAACACTCCAGCAACGATTCAAAAAGAATCGCCAAAGGCGCATCAAATTGCGCACACTGAAGCTTCCCAATCTCAAGACCAAACTGAGACTACACAAAGGAGGAGTGCAACCGGCGCCTTCTGGGGGTTCGAAGGCCAAGGACTAGCCCCCAGCTTCAGATAAGCGCTACGGCAATCTCTGGCCATTCATCTTGGATTGCATCAAGGAGGCCTGCCCGATGTCATCTACGACCAGGTCAGCAGCAAATACCTGGATCCCGGGGAGTCATCCAGCATGCGAAACCACTCCATACACTGGTTGAACACTGGCCCCCAAGAGGACGGTAGCAAGACACCCAGAGCAACCACATTAAGACCTGGAACCAGGCAGCCATCCATTACAAGCAAAGAGACCAGCCAAAGACATGCCCTCTGTGCAATGTGCCAGCTACACCCAAGCACATACTTTGGCTCTGCGCCTGGCGCCACAAACAAGGCCATGCGCCACTCCCCATCCCTTGGACCGAACGACTCCAGGATCTGCTTGAAGAACCACTGTGGGCACATGGTTGGATCCCAAAAGAGCCACAAGATCACCTCCGCAGCCTTTGCCACTCCAAGGCCATGGCGCAGCCTTGAACCCCTTCCACTACAACCATGGCAAGGCTTTGCAGTGACCCCAGATGCCACACCCTCCTCTTACGACAAGAGGGCCCAGGCCTGGATCTTTGCCCTCTCCTGATCCGCAAAGGCACCATTACTGGCATGCCACCGGGACCACAAACCAAAGCCAGAGCGCTCTTTCAAGGACTCCTCACCTTGGCTCAGCTTGGGCCAACCCACAGAAAGGGAAAGGTTTCAGTGACCTGGTGCAAGGACTGCCTGAGGAGCTCTTCAGCCGCATCACTCCTCTGTACATCCACAAGAATCAGAGGACCCCAGACGCACCAAGCAGCGAGCCCCACCTAAAACAGCGCCAGCGTGATGCCGCGCTAGCTGCATGGGAACGGGCCAACGCAATTCATGACCAGCATGCCGAAGCCTGGCAAAGAACTTTAGACCAAGACCACCTTGAGGTTTACAAACATGCAGCGGCGCGACTGGAAAAGATCTTCAAAGACCTACAGTACGAAGAGCGGGCCACACCGCCAAGCAGTACAAGAAGAGGATGATCCAACAACGCCGCCTGCCGTGGGTCACCGGGAAACACCAATGGGAGCCACACCGCAGTGGATACCAGCGCCACACATGCCAAACCAGAGACAGTTGAGACCATTGAACAACGGCTCCAACAACAGTGTGAGCTCCTTGCGCACAATGCACGGAGCCTGACCTACCAGTCAACAAAGCAGTTGGAAAGAAATCCACCAGGGCCAGCGTAATAGCCAACCTCTTGGCAGTGCAGCAGAAGCACCCGCTGGCACCAGATGAACACGCTTTCCAGGAGACTACAGGCTACCTTAAGTGCAACAAGTGCAACCTCTCAGTGAAGAAGCGGGCAAGGGTTCGTGCAAAGCAAGTGCATCGACGAAGCCTTTTTCCACATGATGCCCACCAAACACATAGCCTCTGGCAGAAAGGCAAGGGCATCAAGCGCCGCAACTGCGGGTTGCAAAGTCACCTCAACGAAGCAGACCGCATCATTCTGACCAAAGGGCTCCGCAAAGAATGCAGGGGACAGAGCCAAACCTCTCCCACACTTGTCCAACTTTTTGGCTCCCAGGTCAAAGGAAGCCAAGACCCAACAGGCCATGACACCCAGCCAGCACCGAGCACACCACCCCAGACCACGTCCAAGGCAGAAGGCTTTTCGCCACCAGCACCCAAAAAGCTCAGATTCTCCGCCGAGATTCTGAGCTCAGCAGCAGGTGGACTACTTCTAGGTGGCCTACCGCACCACATGCTGCGGGCCCGCTGCTGTGCCACGGCCAAAGGGCCCTCGCTCACCAGATGCAAAAGACACTTTAGGAGAAAAACTATATACATACATACATGCATACATGCATACATGCATACATACATACATACATACATACATACACATACTTACTTACATACATACATACATACATACATACATTACATACATACATACGTACGTACATACATACATACATACGTACGTACATACATACATACACAGACATACATACATACATACATACATACATACATACATACATACATACATACAT